GTTCATATAGCACCACCACCAGTTATAATGCCAAAAAAGAAAAGACTTTCTGGAACATCACTAAATCCTTTTTCTGTACAATCTGAAGTCTCCAAGGTAATATTTCCAAAACAAACCACCAGACTTAATATTTCTTGATTTTAATATCATTTGTTTAAAAACTTTCTTTTTCCTTTTGATATTTAACATAATTTGATGTGTTGCTATGCAAACAAGTAGAAAATAGTAATCTTAACACAGTATTTTTTTATTTAGTTCCATATCCTCAGTTTGGCTAACTCTCCAGTGAAACAGCATTTGTACACTGACTCAACTTAAATAGGCATGCTGTTTCCACTAAGAGCTTCCTTTTCAACTAACTTTTCTGTTAATGAAAAAGAGGGGTCCCCAGTGACCACTAAAAAAAGTTATGCTAGGATTCAGGGGATATGCATGGTCAAAAGTCTTATGGGATGGGGACTGTAGCAAGTAAAGGAATTGGGTGACATAGTTGGCTAAACCCAGCCCATAGTGCTGTAGATTTGTGTGCCCTTTGCACAATATAAAGAAATATAGGCAGGAGCACAACATTAATTTCTCTGTTGGAGTAGTATGTAGTTTTGTATGCAAATATTAGCAAAGAAGTGGTTAAAAAGGGTTAATTTGGTTCACTGCTGAAACAGGCTGCTTGTAAAACCACCATGGTGGAATCCTGTGCAGAATTACTCTAGACAAAGCCCATTGATTGCATGGGATGCTGCATGGGATTACACTGTACATAATTGAAATGCATAGTAAGTATAAGCCATATTGCTGATGATCAGGTGTAATTAAAACTTGCTTGTACTTATAGAGAACTTCTGTAGCAAAAACTGTTACTCCTGTCAAAAAGGAAGTTTCTTCATTGAATTCATTTCAATCCAATCATTCAAGCTATACATCAAGGCCACAGACAGTCAAAGAAGCAGTTGGTGATCCTGAAAATGGAATTCAAATTGTGGAAAATGGAGAACTGGTAAAAGTTAAACAAGAGGAAGTTACTAAAGGTATTCATGATATTTTGACGAATTTGAGAAGGTAGCTGTGTTGGTCTGTTGTAGCCAAAATAAAGGTCTTGTGGAATCTTAAAGACTAACTTATTATGGCATGAGCTTTTCTGAGTTAGAGCCCACAATGTCAGATGCTTGGTAGCCTCCCCCAGAAGTGAGGTGGTGAGTTACGATGAGAGACTAGAAAGCTCAGTTTTCCAGGACATAGTTATGTCATATAACAGAAAAGGCAGATAAAAAGAAAAAAAGTTAATTGTTCAGTTAGTAACTGAGTTTATTGTTTAGTATTTGATATTATGTTTCACTGTACTGCAGCATTTCTCTAATTTGGTATGTTAAACCCCTCTCATCAGTCTCTCTACACAATAATTACAGAAAATGAACAAGCTATTATGGATTTTGATGATGAAGACTTCAGTGAATCTATGGAGGATGTAGGAACTGTAGCAGAAAAAGTTACATCCCTGAAGGATGAGCTAAAGTTGGAAGATGAAAAAATAAGGCAAGTGACTCTATGCAAGCAGGCTTGTATTTTGTGTCAGAAAACTGCTGGAGTTTCTTGTTTGGCTATATTCCTCACTTTTTACTAAGGTTGTTGTCTGTGTGGGAAACTTCGCTGTAAATAAAGGCCTCATGCAGAAACTTCTCAATATGTTAACTGACTTGCATTAAACTTGCATATAAAGAACCTTCATTGTTCTTACTTCTGAAAAAAAGAGGGTCCCTTGAATTAGTAGCCATTTCAAATACTCTTACCTTTTTAAAAATTATCCATGGATTGTTTTTCAGAAGCTCTTGCCTCTCTGGTACTTCCTGTTGGGACAAAATCACTGAAAATGATGATGGGCAATTAGTTTCAGAAATTCAAGTAGATTCTAGTGAACTTCCACTAGTAACTGGAGAAGATGGGCAGCAGGTCTTCAGGTTCTATTGGCTTGATGCTTATGAAGATCAGTATAATCAGCCAGGTATGTGTATGTATGAAATCTATTCTCTGCCTCCATATGCTTGTGTGAAATTACAAAGTAACATTGTGCTTAAGGAGTCCCTGTGTCCTTTAATTTTTCTTTGTTGTTGAGTGTCTGTGCTTTATAATTGGATAGGCTTAGGCCAGAACAGCGTTCATGGTACAAAGCAGCTTTAAGAGAGGATGAATTGTTGGTTAAGAAATGGCTCATGAGAGGAGCTATGCTGCTGATGTAAAACAACTGTGGGACTATTTAATTGTTACAATAATAATCTACGCACAGCCAAGAGAGTTCCAGTAGAAGTTCCATATTAAGAAATTTTATTTCTTAATCTTCACTGTAATCTAGCTTAATGTCAAATTCAGGAATGGGTAAAATGGAGGTTAATGGCAAATGTTTCAGTTCTGTAGCCTAAGTGATTTTTTGCAATTAATGTTCCTTTATGTCTTGGGAAGGGATTTAAATATGATACTGCCTTTCAGTGTGCTGACTATACACAACAGTACTATGATAGTAAGTAATCTCTGAAGCTCTAGTGAAATCAGTGACTAATATGGGGAAAAAGCTTTATCCCTCAAAGCCCCTTGCATAGTGTTTTACTTTTATATTGGATTCTGTATGGTGGTTTCTGAATGGTGCATAATTATGAAAAGACTTCTGTTCCTTGATTACAAGAAGAGATCCTGTCATCATAACTTTTCAAGGATGAATAATAAAGACTGCACCTGGTTTCAATTAGTAATGTAGAGAAAAATAAATTTTGACATTACTTTTTTGTTTGAGAATCATGATCGTTACAGCAAATGAGGCATGAACAGTATTACACAGAGGACTTATGTAACTGGGAAGAGTAAAATTCATATATCCATGCTGACTGAACGGCTATAGATAAAGGCTGCAAATAGTTTAATCCCTTGACTTTGTACATCAGGTAACATTTTTGTTAAAACTGCACAATTCTGGTACAAATGATGCAATCATCAGCTAATACAGGCTTATCTTTGAACTTAGATAAACACAGAAAACACTGTGTTGAAATAATAAACACAATATTCACATGTACTTATAGCAAAATATATTTGCTTTTTATACACAACATCAACTCTAGTGTATTGTAAACACTTTCAAACTACAACATCACATTTCAAACACTTTCAAACTAAGTTATATAACATGAAGAGTCCAACTGTCTTCTTCCTGATGGAGGATAAATACCAATGTACAGTTATTTGTACTGAACAATGCAGCAACCTATTGTACATTTCCCAAGTGATGATCCATCAGGTAAAGCTAGCAGGCAGCTTGTGTTTCTCACTGTGATGATTCAGCTTAGCAAGCAAGCCTAGTAGATGTATTTTCCCATGAGGTGATTCAGCTAGCAAGCAGGCCTAGCAACACGCCTCCCGAGCATAACCTGCGTGTTTCGAACAAATCTTCTTCAGGCATAAATTTTTCTGGAACTGAACAACAATACATATCATAATATAATATAAATTCAATATCCTTACATAGTACCAGGATAAACAAGGGGGGGGGGAAGAAGGCTAAATTTCCTGCACTCACCCACAGCTCTTGAATTTTTGTTAAAACTGCAAAATTCTGGTACAAATGATGCAATCATCAGCTAGTACAGGCCTATCTTTGAACTTGGCTGCTTATTTTCTCTGCTAATTTGCTTTTTACCTCTGTGTGGCAGGAAAGGTACAGGGTAAGTTTGGGTGCTTGTGAAGAATCATAGGGCATTTGAATGATTAGTAAACACCCCCCCCCCCCTCGGTGCAATACCATGGTGCTGCTAATCTTGGAGTCCAGATGAGAAGCTTCCTGTCTTTAACCTCAGTAATCCCATGCACTAGAAGCAGTGCCCTGAGTACTGCAGGTCTACTACCTCCTCATTTAGCCAAGGTACACTGCAAGAGGGAGGTTATCTACCTCACTTTTCCTGTATTGTTTGTGATGGTTTTGGGAGGATTGGGCTCAATGTTCCCTCTAAGCTGAATTAGTGTGTGCTAGCTCACAGTTTTTTAGCCTCTGGCTCACACATTTCTGTCTTCGCTCAGGAAGGATGGGGCTCCAGAGCAAACTAACTGATGCAGTAGCCAAATCACTTGCTCACAACTTTAATGCCAGTCGCTCACCAAGTAGAATTTTTGCTCACAAGACTCCACAGCTTAGAGAGAGCATTGATTGGGATGTGTTCCTCCTATTTTAGTTTGCATACTCCTGGCAGAGTTGCACAGTTTTGCAGAAACCCATACCTTGTCTGCATGGTCCCTGCTGTCAAGTGTGAGAGGCATCACATTAACTATTAGTGATGAATTTGTGTTGATGATCTTGCAGAAGTTCTTCTGAAGCCTTGGATTGTCAAGAGATAGCTGCATTTAATTCCATATGATATTAAATATCACTGGCTCCAAGGTCACAGAACTCTGTGTTTAATTGGACACTCTTCCTCATATTCATTAACTGCTTTAGTTTCTTAATCTTGACATACTTTTGCTATCACAAAGGTGTGTGTGTTAACCTGTGGTGGTGTCTCATGAAGATTCTGGTCTTATACAAATTGTTGAAACACTCTGATCCTTATCAAAGATTTGGAGACTTGTGACTTCCTTTTCTAGGCTGCCATCACAATACAAATCAAAACAAAGAATATCAAACTGATAGGAAGAACAAGAAAAGAAAATTTATGATGCCAGTTTCAGTTTACCTGCTTCATCTCCATGTCAGAGTAATTAGATGAAAAGGGGGAGGAAGGAGAATACGGAATAAGTTGGGGGGGAGTGTATTTCAAGCCCTTTAAGTATAAAAAGGTGGCATTTAATGCTTGGGTGCTATTGTGATGCATGTCTCTGTTGTACAAGATTTTCAAAGCAATCACTTGACTGTGGAGTACTGACTTTCAGCAGATGGAGCTGTCAATTAGAGCCTACAAATTGGAAATCATATTGCTCCCATGGGTGAATTAGTGTGTTTATTCAGTAATTCTTAGTATTGCAGCTTTCCATTAGCAGCTGTGCTAAGCTGTCGTGATTAATGCACATTGTCTCTGTCTTCACCTTCTCTCCCATCTTAGGGGTTATATTTCTCTTCGGTAAAGTGTGGATTGAATCTGCAAAGACCTACGTTAGCTGCTGTGTGGCAGCAAAAAATATTGAGAGAACTATTTATCTCCTGCCACGTGAGTCGGTATGTCTTAACGTAATGAATTAGGAGTAAGTAATGACACAAATGATACATGAAGACTGTGAAATCAAAAAAGAATTGGGAGTAATAAGACTTCTATCCAGTTTTCACATTCATAAATCAGTCTTGTATAATATCCCTAAAACTTTAGGCATAAAGTCTCAGAATACTTATTGTGGTGGTCTTTTGTGGTTCTGTGAAGCCTTTGTAGCTTAACCTCTTAGTCCTCATCCCCAAATAAAATTAAACCCAGATGTATGAAACTGTGTTTGCTTGCATTCATCCTTTGTTGTCTCTCCCTTAACTCTTGCCTGTTTAAATTCAGATTGCAAGCTTGTTGGGCAGTCACCTGTCTTTGGCTTATTAAGTTGCTTTGTAACTGCTATATAAGTAATAGATCCAACATACAGTGTATACATTTTTTCTGACTTTACAAAAACAAACTGAATGGATAACATTTGTTAAATTTCTTTGCTGCTTAAAGCGGATCGATTTATCTTCTGGTAAAGAGACAAAAAGTTCTGTGACCATGATGGATGTCTATCAAGAATTTAATGACAAGATTGCAGAAAAATACAAGATCATGAAGTTCAAGTCCAGGGTTTGTTTTCTATCATTTCCCTTTTTAAGTGTTGATGATAGAGGAGAGGGTGGTCGATGCTGTGTTGCCCGTAGTTGCCTTGTAGGTAACTTTATAGTGCATCAAAATATTTAGTGGGGGTTGTACCAGAATGCCCAGTGGTTATAGTAGATAGCTTGCTGTCCAGTGCAGAATATGTACTAACAGTGATCATAACATTATTTGTGAAAATACTGAGGCTTGTCATCAGCTCCTGAACATTTAGGCTTTCATAGAATGGACGCTGGCTGTCAGAGTCAGTAATTATTGGTAATCATAGAATTATAGAGTTGAAAGGGATCTCTAGGTCATCTAGTATAACCCCATGCACAACATAGGAAATTCACAAATACCTCCCCACCACCACCAGTGACCCCTGCTCTATGCCCAGAAGAAGGCAACCCCCCCTCTCCAGGATCCCTTGCTAAATTGGCCTGGAGAAAATTGCTTCCTGACCCCAAATCAGCATTTCCCTTGGCATGTAAGAAAGGGCCATGAGAACTAAGCACTGATGCAGCCTTTTCTGCCCTCCCTCTCATGATCTGCTTAAATTCACAGAATCAGCATTGCTGTCAGTTGGCCATCTAGCCTCTGTTTGAAAACCTCCAAAGAAGGAGAGCCCACCACCTCCTGAGGAAGCCTGTTCCACTGAGGAACCTCTCTGTCAGGAAGTTCTTCCTAATATGTAGCTGAAAACTCTCTTGATTTAATTTCAACCCCTTGGTTCTGGACTGACCTTCCTGAGCAACAGAAAACAACTCTGCACCATCCTCTGTATGACAGCCCTTCAACTACTTTTCAATAAGAGAAGAGTTCACAGTGTTCCATGTTAAGATGTATAAAGTGGTAACCATGGGGCTGCACAACGCCAATTTGTCATAGAGTGAAAGGATGGAATAGTAATAAAGTAGAAACTGAAATAAGCGTATGAGAAGCCAGTGCTGGATCAGATCAATGTCCCGTCTAGTCCAACACTCTGTCACACAGTGGCCAAAAATACCATGTGCCATCAGGAGGTCCAGCAGTGGGGCAATCGAAAAGCTAGGGGTCTGACACACATTTAATTTTTGGAACTTGATCTGTTATATGTTTGAATTCCAGTTTAACAGAAATGATATAATGTGATATTCCTGTACATTGATGTAAAGACTATTTTCATTGAATTTATGCTTCTGGAAATCTTCGTAAATGTTGTCCTAATTGTAGGGCAACAATAGAATGGAAGGGTGATTTGGGGGGGGGGACGAGGACCTAGTCAGAGGGATCTGAGGGCTGTACATTCATCCTCACTTATTCTGTTTATTTTAGCTTTGAAAATGATTTTCAATAATAAATCTCAATAGTTGTTCCAAACAGTCAGTTCTGTAGCACTCTAAGAGCTTTGTTGACCTTGTAGAAATGAAATTAGCTTGCAATCAATCTGACCAAGCTCTATCCTTTATGTCTTCCATCCAAAGCTCTTCACTTCTTGAACACCCTCTATGGAGGAACTCTTTTTGATTGGTCAGTAGGCCAGTGGTTTGAACTGACATAATCTTACTTAAATAACTAATGGATAATTTAAATCTAAATTACAAAAATATGTTTACCACTTAACTTTTCTTATTGAAATCTCACATCCCATACATAAGAACATAAGAACATAAGAGATGCCAATGTTGGATCAGGCCAAAGGCCCATCCAGTCCAACACTCAGTATCCCACAGTGGCCAGAAATACCAGTGCCATCAGGAGGTCCACCAGTGGGGCCAGGACATTAGAAGCCCTCCCACTGTTGACCCCCCCCCAAGCACCAAGATGACAGAGCATCACTTGCCCCAGAGTCCCTATCTATACCTTGTGGCTAATAGCCACTGATGGACCTCTGCTCCATATGCTTATCTAATTCCCTTTTGAAGCCGTCCATGCTTGAAGCCGCCACCACTTCCTGTGGCAGTGAATTCCAAGTGTTAATCACTCTTTGGGTGAAGAAGTACTTCCTTTTATCCGTTCTAACCCGACCGCTCAGTAATTTCATGGAGTGCCCACGGATTCTTGTATTGTGAGAAAGGGAGAAAAGTACCTCTTTCTCTACCTGCTCTTTCCCATGCATAATCTTATAAACCTCAATCATGTCACCCCTCAGTCGTCGTTTCTCCAAGCGAAAGAGACCTAAGCGCCTTAACCTTCCCTCATAGGGAAAGTGTTCCAACCCTTTTATCATTCGAGTTGCTCTTTTCTGCACTTTTTCCAAAGCTATAATATCCTTTTTAAGGTGTGGTGACCAGAATTGCACACAGTATTCCAGATGAGGTCGCACCATTGATCTATATAGCGGCATTATGATATTGGCTGATCTGTTTACAATACCCTTCCTAATAATCCCCAGCATAGCATTGGCCTTCTTTATTGCAGTCACACACTGTCTCGACATTTTCAGTGAGTTATCTACTACAACTCCAAGATCTCTCTCTTGATCTGTCTCTGCCAGTTCAGACCCCATCAACGTGTATTTATAGTTAGGATTTTTGGCTCCAATGTGCATCACCTTGCACTTGGCCACATTGAACCCCATTTGCCATGTTGACGCCCACTCGCCCAAAATTGACAGATCCCTTTGGAGTGCCTCACAATCCTCACTGGTTTTCACCACCCTGAACAACTTCGTATCATCCGCAAATTTAGCCACTTCACTGCTTACTCCCAACTCCAAATCATTAATGAACAAGTTAAAAAGCAGTGGACCAAGTACTGATCCCTGTGGTACCCCACTGCTTACACCCCTCCACTGGGAGAACTGCCCATTTATACTCACTCTCTGTTTTCTATTAATTAGCCAGTTTTTGATCCATAAAAGGACTTGTCCTTTTATCCCATGATTTTTGAGCTTGCTTAGGAGCCTTTGATGAGGAACTTTATCAAAAGCTTTCTGGAAGTCAAGGTAAACAATATCTATTGGATCCCCCTTGTCCACATGTTTGTTCACCCCCTCAAAGAACATTAACAGGTTAGTGAGACAAGATCTTCCCTTACAGAACCCATGTTGAGTCTGCCTCAATAGGTTTTGTTCATCTATGTGCCTACTAATTCTTTCCTTAATAATGGTTTCCACCAATTTACCCGGTATCGACGTCAGACTGACAGGCCTGTAATTTCCCGGATCTCCTCTGGAACCCTTTTTAAAGATGGGAGTGACATTAGCTACCTTCCAGTCCTCAGGAATGGAGGCTGATTTTAAGGAGAGATTACATATTTTTGTCAGGAGATCCACAAGTTCACAATTGAGTTCTTTCAGAACTCTTGGATGTATGCCATCTGGGCCTGGTGATTTATCAGTTTTTAAGTTGTTTATCAGTTTTAGGACCTCCTCTCTCGTCACCTCAATCTGACTCAGGTCTTTCAACACCCCTCCCGAACTCAGCGGCTCTGGAGTGGGCAAGCACCTCTCATCTTCCACAGTGAAGACGGAGGCAAAAAATGCATTTAGCTTCTCAGCCATTTCCCTATCATCCTTCAGTACTCCTTTTACCCCTTGGTCATCCAAGGGCCCCACTGCCTCCCTGGCTGGTTTCCTGTTTCTAATGTATTTGAAGAAAGTTTTATTGTTGGTCTTTACATTTTTTGCTATATGCTCCTCATATTCCCTTTTTGCATGCCTGACCACAGACTTGCATTTTATTTGCCATAGCCTGTGTTCTGTTTTATCAGCCTCACTGTGACTAGCTTTCCACCGCTTAAAGGAATCCTTTTTACCTTTTACAGCTTCCATTACTTTGTTTGTTAACCATGTAGGCTTTTTCTTATACCTGTTTGTGCCTTTCCTAACCTGCGGAATATATTTTATTTGAGCTTCTAGAATTGTAGTTTTAAACAGTTTCCAAGCTTCCCCAATGGTTTTGACCCTTTCTACTTTTCCCTTCAGTTTCCTCCCCACATGTCCCCTCATATCAGAAAAATTACCCCTTTTAAAGTTAAAAGTGGTTGTGTGAGTCTTTTTGGCCAATTCCCTATTTGTACAAATGTTGAACTCAACAACATTATGATCACTGTTCCCAAGCGGTGCAATCACTTTTACATCTCTCACCAGGTCTTGAGTGTTACTTAGGACCAAATCAAGGATCGCCTCTCCCCTGGTAGGTTCCATGACCATCTGCTCCATAGCACAGTCATTTAGAGTGTCTAGAAACTCAATCTCTTTCTCTCGACTAGAACACATATTGACCCAATCAATGTGTGGGTAGTTAAAATCACCTATTACGACACAGTGTTTTTGTCTAGCTGCTATCTTTAATTCATTCATCATTTTATAATCCTCCTCTATCTTTTGATCCGGTGGGCGATAACAAACTCCCAGTGTTAAGTTTCCTTTTGGCCCCCCTATTTCAACCCACAGAACTTCAAGAAGCGAATCCAATTCTCTTAGCCTCTCGATCTTTCTGGACTTTATACCCTCTCTGACATACAGAGCCACCCCACCTCCAACCCTTCCCCCCCTATCCTTCCGATATAATATATAACCGGGAATCACCGTATCCCACTGATTTTCCTCATCCCACCAAGTTTCTGAAATACCCACAATGTCTATTTTTCCCTCTGACACCAAGCACTCCAACTCCCCGATTTTACCTCGGACACTTCGAGCATTTGTATAGAAACAGCTGTAATTTCCCATACTGGTTAAGCCTGCCACCTTCCTCTTGCAATCTCGAGACCTTGTCAGGCAGTCCATGTCACTAGCCATGGTCTCAGTGGACAATTTCAATCCACCTCCCTGTAGAAAAGCAACAGGTACCCCCTCATCTCTCTGAGATGAGCCAACCCGAACCAGAGACTTTTCATCTCCTGTCGGCTTTCCCCCAATATTCAGTTTAAAAACTGCTCTGCCACCTTTTTGATTTTAAGCGCCAGCAGCCTGGTTCCTTCTCGGGACAAGTGGAGACCGTCTCGCCTGTACAGCTCCCTCTTGTTCCAAAAAGAATCCCAGTGCCTAACAAACCTGAACCCTTCCCCTCTACACCATCGTCTCATCCACGCATTGAGACTCCTGATCTGTGCCTGTCTCTCCGGCCCTGCGCGTGGAACAGGTAGCACTTCTGAGAAGGCTACCTTGGAGGTCCTGGCCTTGAGTTTCCTGCCCAGCAGCCTAAATTTCTCCTCCAGGACCTCACGACTGCATTTCCCCACATCGTTGGTGCCGACATGCACCACGACCACTGGCTCCTCCCCAGCACTATCTACCAGCCTATCTAAAACACGCGTAATGTCCGCTACCTTTGCACCAGGCAGGCAAGTCACCATACGGTCAGTACGCGGGTTCGCCACCCAGCTGTCTACCTGCCTAAGGATCGAATCACCCACTACCAAGAGCCCCCCTCCCACCCTGCCCAGGGATGGTTCCTTGGTGCAAAAGGATACCCGCTCACCAGCTGGGGAAGAGGTCCCTTCTGAGGGCACATTCCCCTTATCCTCAGCACGGTGCCCTGTTTCCCCTAGACCCTCATGCTCCCTGACAGCAGCGGGGCTGCCAGATCCAGAGTGGGACGTAGCTAACAAGTCCCCGAGAGTCTTTTCTGTGCGCCTAGCTGACTGTCTCTGCTTCTCCAGGTCAGCCACCTTGGCCTCAAGGGAGCACACACGTTCCCTGAGAACCAGGAGCTCCTTGCACCGAGCACACACCCAGGACTTCTGCCCAGTGGGCAGATAGTCATACATGTGACACTCTGTGCAAAACACTGGATAGCCCCCAACCCCTTGCTGGCATTCTGGCTTCATAATTCTTTTAAAATAAGTAAATGTAAGCCCCCTTTTAAATCCCTTTGTATTTATGTGTTTTTTCTTGTCAAAGTCAAATTACTTTATGGGGAAAACAAAGAGCCTAGGGTTTTCACTTTCTGCCTCTTTTTGGGCGTCTCACAGAGCCCCTAGTCCAAGAGTCTCTGGGCTAAGAGCCACGGGCAAAGAGCCCTTTAGCTCGCCCTTCGGCTCGTGCCAGAGGCTCGTGCCTCTGGCAAGGTGCTTCCTTAAATAGAGGCCTCCCCCAGCAGAGTGCTGGCAGCAGCTATTCAAATGCACCCAGGCACTCAATCACATGCAAAACAATGCCCCTTCCTTTTCCTCTCAATTGCAGTCAATCACAGTCAAACAATGCCCTTTCCTCTCTCAAGCAGCCAGGAATCTGCAAAAACTCCAAGCGCTTCCACACACTCCCAGACCAGTTCTCCCACCAAAATCCTCAGCTGGATCCTCTCCGCTGAAAGCAAATAAAAAACCACTCACCCCTCTGTCTCCTGCTCCTGCTCCTGCTCAGAGCTCAGCTGGGTCTCCTCTGCCTCTGGCCAGGTGTTTCCTTAAATAGAGGCCTCCCCCAGCAGAGGGCTGGCAGCAGCTATTCAAATGCACCCAGGCACTCAATCACATGCAAAAGAATGCTCCTTCCTTTTCCTCTCAATTGCAGTCAATCACAGTCAAACAATGCCCTTTCCTCTCCCTCTCTCAAGCAGCCAGGAATCTGCAAAAACTCCAAGCGCTTCCCCATACTCCCAGACCAGTTCTCCCACCAAAATCCTCAGCTGAATCCTCTCAGCTGAAAGCAAGTAAAAAACCACTCACCCCTCTGTCTCCTGCTCCTGCTCAGAGCTCAGCTGGGTCTCACATAGCTTGATGCTCATTATTTCCAGACACAGTACATTAATATTAATTGCATAAATGGCCTATAATCCTATGAGAAGTACCACATGGCTCCACAGCAAAGCAAAATACAAGTCTAACTAAAATCTAATATAGTTAAAATGCATATTTCATGTTTGTTCCACTAAAATAACTTATTTCTGTGATTGAGTTTGTTCCTTTGAATTGTTTTTCCTCAGATTCAACCTTCAATATTCTTATACCCATAATTTCTGTATCTCATCCATGGTGCTTGACCCATAAAATGCCCTAGATTTACTGCCCAGTCAGACCCATTCTTTATTCCAAATGTCAATACTATCTCTCACAGGTCTCAAGAATTTGTCTTTCTTTCCCCTACCCCAAACCCTTAAGCAGTGCCATAAGCTGGATGTCCATAGAGTTCTGCATATCTATACCTAATAGAGCTTGGAATTTCACACCACTGACTGTTCTTGTTTGTATCTATCTTTTCACCTGGTCTCACTGGGCAAACATATTTTGGAAATCATTCTAGTCAGAAGTGTAAAGGCAGGCATTATCTTGGACTATGAATTCCATTGGCTGCCTGTTGCTTCCATAGTGTTGGTGTGCTATACATGGGTTGCCGTCACTACTGTAGCATTAGTGGTCAGGCACCAGTGGAAGAACTGCAAGGCTGCAACTTTGGCTTTCCTCTCCACCTTAACTTGCCATTATAAGCTGGACAAGCACATCTCAGTGGGTGCAACTTCTGGGCAAAGGGTTCTTCAGCAAATGCATCCACCATGAATCTCTGGAAGCCGTTTGACCAACCCAGTATGTCAATGTCATGGTCTGGATTCCCTCACAGAATGGAACATTGTTACTTACCATGTAGCCTTCATCCTGGTGTGTGGATGGAATCCAGCCTTACTGAGGATACCAGTGAGAATATAAATCTATAAGATTGGAGTCAGTTCTCTACCTGTGCTTGCATGTTTACATTATTTCAGGCTGCTGTGTTTCAGACTTCTAATCACGTTACTTAACATACGTTCATGATCTTTACTGTCATTCTCCATTCTGTAAATGGGAAGTGGAAGGGATGAACTTGCTACGCATTTGCATGATCCTGCTTGTGGAGCAAGGACCTGGCCAGAGAAGAACCTTTAACATTACGTACTTGTGTTCTGTTCTAAATCAGAGGTGAAACTAAGTGAGACATTTTATTCATTTAAACTATTTGTATGCCACCCTTCCACACAATTTAGGGTTAAAAAAGTTAAATAGAAATAAATATAAAATATTTAAAACATATAAACTCACAGAACCCTCTTGTATCCTTTTTCCAGATATCTAATTGTCAAATGGACATCCTCTTGTTATTCTCATGTGTTTGGGGAGGTAGAATAAATTAAGTTCAACATTCAAATAATTTATATACATTCAAATAATTTGGCAAACTTGAGGATCTGTACGAAGCTTAAGGAACAGATGAAATTTGTATTGTCTCAAGACGATCTTCAAAGTTTTAGGTGATCAAATTAAAATAGAACTTGGTGAAGTTGTTTTTTGTTTAAAGAAAAATGTAGGTAGTATCACTGGTTTTCAACAATAACTGTTGAGTATCTCAAATTATGTATTTTGCCTAGAAAGTGGAAAAGAATTATGCTTTTGAAATACCAGATGTTCCTGCAAAATCTGATTACCTAGAAGTTAGATACTCGGTAAGTAAATGGTGGTTTTTAAAATAGAAGGAGATACTCATTATTTTTGTTGTTACCTAACTAATTTGTAGCCATTCTATAGAAAGTGATGTACAGCTAGTTTTTCCAGTAGGCCACTTTGGTGTGGGATTGGGGTGTGGTCAGCAAAACCTGTCATCTTTCTTGCTGTGTGTTGGAGAAACCTTTAGTCAAATTTAAATTCCTTTCAAAATAATGTTATATATTATTAAATTACTCATATTTTGAAATGGTACAAAAACTCTGCTGTGATCCACTGGAGTGTTTTCTTGGACTGAGAGGGTTTCTATCCCAGAACACAACTTCCTTGACACTTCCTCTTCCTGGAACCTACAGTGTCTACTGAAATATAGTTCCTGGGGGTTCTTTGTCTCCGTGGGAGCCACATTGTGCTGCAGTGGGACAGGGGTGTCAGGGCTTCAATTCATATTGCCAAATGCTGCCAACATGTCAAGGAGATGCCGTGCTGTGCAGCATTCTAAAACTTAGCCCACCCTGTATGGTACAGCACCCCAGGTTGAGTTGCAAAATAAAATGCACAAATGCAGACAAATTATTGTGGTAGCAGTAGCTGTAGCCAGCCTGGCCAAGGTAACTAGATTCAGACTGAAGCCACCTGAATACAAAAAATGGACCAAAATATAATTTGCTTTATTAAAAGAATGTGCAGGAATATACAAACCAGCAAAAAACAGTGAGAATAAAATAACAAAACCTAATTAACTAGTTCTAGATGCTCACAAAACAATGGTTCCTTAATCCAAAGGGCACTTAACAAGGCAGAGTACAAGATAGTTTCAAAATCCCAAAATCAACAGATATCTAGCCTTCCTGGCCCTCTCAGTCAAAAGGCGGAGCCAAGCCCTCAAGCTATGACAAGAGCTCTAAGTTGGCTAAGCATACTAAAGGAAAGATCTTATTTTATGCCTCACAGCCTACTCTGGACTGATTCAGGCTTGCCAATCAAAAGTAGGCCCGGTGACCAGGTGAAATAACCAATCAGGTGGGATTGCCAATTAGTATCTGATGTTCTGTAGTTACACCAGATCCAATTAACAAGCTCCCATAAATCCTTGCATTAACTTGATGGAATGTGTAGGCCTCTAAGGGTGGTCTTGAAACCTTTTGGGCTGATGATATTCCTTTTATCTGCCAACTGCCTCTCATTCTTGTCTCTCTCATTCTGTCACTGCCATTTGGCCTTGGTGCTCAGAAAGCAGGGATTTTCCATATTCTGCAGGCCTTGTGCCTGAACCAACATTTGAGTTTGAACAAAAGACTATGGGGAAACGTAGTCTCTTGACATGGGAGATTAGAAAGTTGTGCTCTGTAGATGAAAATCCTTCCATCTGTGAAAATGCTGCAGTGGTTCCAAGGAATTGTGGATGCTGAAGAGGTAACTGTTAGGTTACCTACGTTTCTGAATAAACTCCACCAAATTCATATGGTAGTCTGGATGGGGTGTTTTCCTCTTCCTGCTGCCTTATGAATAGCTTGTTTGTGGATGGAGTCTACAGTTCTTGAGGCTTGACTTATTTGAGATTTGGTTTTCTGGGATACTGATTCACTAAATCCATTGCAGTTTATCAGATGCTTGATAAACTGTGTTTGTGCTTCCACACCAACTTGTTAAGCATCTGCAGGAGAATAGAAACTGAGCTGCAGTTGTCAGTTGGAGGGTTACATTTGGCTTATATGCTCTGAATTTGATTAGTGTGGCTAAAAGGTGCTTATAGTTTCTGTAGTCAGTTTTCCTCTTGGTCTTACATGAAGAGCAGAAGTAAAATATTTTATAATTTAAAAAAATTGGATTAAAGCATCTAGTAAAATGGTTCACTGCTGTATTTCTGTTCTCAGGCTGACTTCTCTCGGCTTCCTCAAGATCTGAAAGGAGAAACGTTTTCTCATGTGTTTGGAACTAACACTTCTAGTCTAGAACTGTTTTTGATGAGCAGGAAGATCAAAGGACCAAGTTGGCTAGAAATAAAAAATCCACGTATGAGTCTATTGTCTAGAATATCTAATAGAAGGATGGACCAATGACATGGTGGTGTTCAAGACAAAATTTACCAGACGGAAAGAGGGAATAGTTGAAAACAGAATATTAGAATTTGTGTATTTGCTGATCCAAGTGAAGGAATCTGCAGTTTGAAAATATCTGGAATTCACAGTACAATGTCCTTTTCAGATTGTTCCGATAGTTCTAAATTTTATAACTCCAAGTACTCAGAATCCCAGTGACTTTTTTTCTCAGGCAATGAAGCGTACTTTCTATAGGAAAGTTAAATATATTCCCCAGATAGCTTGCTAGAAATTTCCTGAGGCTGGGGATGCTGGTTTGATAGAGAGCCTGTGATTAATGTGTGCTTGCACTTGGGGAATCCCAAAACAGGCTTTCAGAAAGCACTTTTCACTTTGGTGAAATGAAATGCAGACATGGCTATTGAGTAATGCTCTGGCTGCTGAAATGGTATTTCCTGTGTCCCTTTGTGTTCACTTCATCCTACATTTGATTTCCACTCTAGTATGTACATCATATTTACTTAGTATTTAGGAATAAATTTTAGGATTAGTAGATTAGACTGTGTTTAGGTTCCTTTTAGATATGAGGTGAAAGGCTAAGGTTTGTTAAGGAAATGTAGCAATCATTTTGGATAATAAATAGGCTTGATGTTCTCTGAATGCGTGAGACAAATTTACATTGTGTATTCTATTGCTGCAGATACTGTTTTGGGGGGACTGTATTTTTGGGGCAGCAGTATAAATTATGGGCATGGTTGGGGAGGTTGGCACATGAGGAAGGCTACAAGTGGTCACACTGGAAGCCAAAGTAGGTTGACCCTTGGTTTAGTAGGCTGAGAAGTGGTCTGTTTGGGGAAGTCTGTCCACGGTGCTGTTGGAAGTGATGTCCTGTCCACTAACCAGTGTTCCCAGTGAGCAGATGTTGATCTCTTAAGTAGCTATAGTCAACACTGCTCATGCCTGGAATGTGAACTGCTACCCCCCCACCCCAACAAACCCTGGTTTTCCTTAAGGTCAATCTCCCACCATAGCAGCAAACAGTCCCTATTCATAGGGCAGAGCACGACACACTTCAGCCTGCTGCTACTCCTTCCCTTACTCCAACTGCTGCTCCAGATTGTGCCTGCACATTTCACTCTATTGTGCCCCATGTTGTTGAGGGTAATTGCCCATCCATTCGCCAATAGTTGTCCAGTGTTCAGTCTGTCTATCACTGCTGCCCAGGATATTTGCTTTCCTCCAGCAGCAGCTTACTGCTTCACTGGTAAAACTTGAGTTGTTTAGGGTTCTCATTGAGTAGCACCTGGCATTTCCTGTGTGCACTTGCAACATCTGCTCAGCCCTTTGTGGTTGGCACAGGCAATGGGAAAGGGGCAGAGGGGGCTCTGGGAAAATTTAAAGAAGCATTGCCCTTATTTTCCCCCTTTATCAGCCAAATTCAAGTGTTTCAAGAATGGACAGAGGTTGTAGATAGTCAAGTTTGCCAAAACGAAATCCAAAAACAAAGGGTTGGATCCTGTGAATTTGTTCTGCAAAGAGTAGTACCTTCTTACAGCACAAAGTGCCTTTCTGCAATGCAAAGAGGCTCTTCAGCTAGTAGAAAAGCCTCTTGAATCAGGAGACAGCTCAAATCCATGGGATCCAATCCAGTAATTTTTCTTAGGATCAAAACAACACTTAAAAGTATATAAGCTTTGAACTTCTCTTGAACTTTTCATCAGACTGGATGTTAAAAGAAATGTTAACAAAAACGCATTGTTTCAGCTAATAGTACCAAAACCTAGAAACAGTAGAATTTTTTTTTATTAAAGAAAGTGCTAAAATCATACAAAGCTGCTATTCATTTTTAACTAAGAGTTATTCCTATATATTTGTTTAAAATATCAGTATGCATATTTTAAAGATGGTTTTCTTGTAATTGTCTCCTGTTTCCACAGAGCTCTTGAATCAGACTGTCAGTTGGTGTAAGGTGGAAGTAGCAGTGCTGAAGCCTGATTTGGTGGATGTGGTGAAAGATCTTTCACCCCCTCCTCTTGTGATTATGTCTCTTAGCATGAAGACAGTTCAGAACACAAAGACTCATCAGAATGAGGTAAGCCATAAGCTTCAAGGTAATGCAGAAAAACAACCATTTGTATGTACTTCATCAACCAAGTAATCAAATAGCTGTTCGTGTTGTGTATTTTGAAGCTTATAGATCTGGTTGCATATGTCTGCTGGTAGACCTCAATGTGATACTTCTTAAAAGATTGACTTTTAACTATTGACATTACATATTTTTGGACATATTGATTATTTTCTTTTGCAATAAAGGTTTTGCAATAGTTAATTGACAGTAACTATTTTTTGATTGATTGTTTTCTTTTGCAATAAACGTTTTGCAATAGTTAATTGACAGTAACTATTTTTGGACATATTGATTATTTTCTTTTGCAATAAATGTAGTAGTGAATATGGTGTATACATTTTTTCCAGCATAAATTTAAGTACTGTAGGAGAAGGTAGCATAGTCTATAGGGATAGTTGGTGTGATTTTTTAGCATCATCAAGACAACTGTGTACATAAGGGGTCCCCAACCTTTTTGAGCCTGTAGGTACTTTTGGAACTCTGATGCAGAATGGTGGGCGCAGCCATAGAATGGCTGCTGCCAGAAGTGGAGCCACCCACAGAATGGCTGCTATGGCTTATCTTTTGTCTCACAGGGAGGATCCTTGTGCTCTGGTGGAAGCTGCTGCTAATGCAATGTTTTAAAAAATCTGGAATCAAATCTCCAGTGGCCAGTCAGAAGCCTTGCTTGGCAAAAGCCCCACCTGGCCCTGTCTACTTTCTCAAAACACTTGGTGGGTGCCAGAGGGGCCCCACGGGCAGCACATTGGGGACTTTACGTGAATCCTCAGGACATGATGTTGTTAAAAACATTTTTAGGGCTTTTATTATAGCTTATCTCCTCTCTTCAAAATAAATCATTCCGTTAATTTGATTTTAAAAAATATATGCTGCCCCATCCATTTAAAGCCAAGGCGTTTCACTTCAGTCTTTAAAACAGTACGCTTATCATCTAAAGTTGATGTGAACATGTGCCAGTAAAACGGATAAAGAATGTAAAAGATCAGTTAATTGCTTGTTGCATAGTTTCCTTTTAAACATCAGCAGATAATAGAATAGCATCTCAGATCATAAAAGCAGTCTGGAGTATAACAGACAATTATAATATTTATTTAAAAACATTTCTGTGTTCTATCTAAAGTAGGCTATTCTTCATGTAAAAACCTTACGCTGAGTTGGGAAAGGAGTGTGTTCTTATTTATTTGTTACTTTATCAGATGAGACAATTTGCAGTTGATTGCTCAAGCAGAAGTTTGTATGAATTTAGAATAAATCAGTTTGAGTTTTAAAGGAGTTGTATTTAGATTGCAAAAACGCAATGCAAAATGTTTCCATCATGTGATAACTATGAAGTCATATACCAAATAGAAATGTATGTTTCAATTTATGGAATAAATTTATGCTTCAACAAGGCTTGTTGAAAGGGATTACCTGTTGAGTTTAACTGCCATTTTTCTTCAACTTCTTTTGTGTAGATTATGGCTATTGCTGCTTTAGTACATCACAAATTTTGTCTGGACAAAGCACCACCTGAACCTCCATTTCAGACCCATTTCTGTGGTAGGTATAACTAGAGGTCTACTGTTTTTTCTTTTGACATTTGGTTTGAATATGATGATTTAGTAAGCATAGTGAAGAAAGCGTTTGATTCATACAACAGCATTTCTTCAAATGATAGAAGTGTGTTCTTCAAATGTATGAAGAAGGCTGGTCAGATATATTGTAGTCTAATTCTCTAGATTTTGGCAGTATTTCTGTCAGTTAAGGCTTTCTCTAGATTTTGAAAGCATTTCTATCATTTCTGTCACTAAAGACTATCTGGTGTAATTTTTGTCCTTCATTAAGCTTCTATATATCTGAAGAAATTATCTTTGAGATTTTCAAAAAATCTTTTCAGTGGTTAAGAGTGTCTACCAAGGTTTAGTGGGTAGGCATTTTTTATTGGGAAGCTAGAGAGAGTTAACCTTCCCAGTCTATATCCTGTCTTCTCCCCCTGTGGCTGCTTTGAAGGGCTGTATTACATATCTGAATTTCACTCACAGAACTCCAGCATCAGTGGAGTTTGACCTTTGTGTGTACATACCTAGGCATAAGTACTGTTGAACTAAGTATAGATTACTTCTGCGTAAACAGGCACAGTGTTGGGCTGTTTAGCATACCACCACTGGTGCTTTCTGTCTCTCAGCTACAGATTCTAGATAGGGACTTTTTCATTGGATTTCTTCTGCTTAAGTGTTGTAGTCACTGGACTGTGATACTTTGGATAGTAATAAGAGCATTCTTCTTGAACCTCCTCTGTCCTTCGGGATCCTTTCTTTTTGGTTTAAATTCTTTTGATTAGTGTGACTCAGGTGGGATCCTATCTAGCTTGTATAAAGCTGAACACTTTCAATTTTAATTGCTTAATACTCCTGTTGAAGTCATTGGCTTGGATCCATCAGAATATATCTGTGGAAGGAAGGTATTTGTGTCAATAGAACACAAATTTCTTGCCTCCTCCTCCCACTGCAGCTTAATATGCTGCTTACAGGGGACAGGGCGCCCCCAAACCAGCATGAGGGGAGAGTCATAGCTCTGTAGAAAGGGGGAGAAAGAAATCACCAAAACTCTCCCCCTCTGTCTATGGAGATCCTTTGGTGGATCAGAGCAATTGAGAATAGTGCTTAACTTTTGTTATGCATTGTACCTGTTATATTTGATGGAGCCTGAATTGATACTGGTTTTGGAGCCCCAAGTCAGGTCTCTTTTTAGTGTCCTTTTAAGGCGTCATTTTCAGGTGTGTGTGGAGAATAAGTTCTGTGCACTGAATACATAAATTCAAATAGTGGATGCTATTGAGGATACCATTCTCATTGTTTTCTTTGTAGTCAAATCATTAATATGTACTATAGCTAAACAGATTCCACATAATATATCTTCAGTTGATTCCAAATTTCTGTTGCAGTTATTTCCAAACCAAATGATTGCATTTTCCCATATGACTTCAAAGAAGCTGCTAAGACCAAGGTATTTTTTTCTGCATTGTTTTGCCTGCTTCCATTTTCAGCTTTCTGAAAAGGATATTTATTGTATTACATGTTAATGATAATAAGGTCAGTTTTAAAGTTCTGTGTCAAATGGTACTATATTACCAGTGACAATGTAAACTCTGCTGTAATATAAGTCTTCCAACAAGGAGCTACAGTGAGCTGTGTGGTATACTTGTACAGAGATTTTTTGCTTTGATTCTTGTGGCATTTTTAACTGTATAAAGTCAGCCTTTTACAAGGAGGAGGGGCTAATGTGGCACAGTGGTACATCATGTGCCCTGATACATCATTCCTTCATGTCTTTATTCAGAGGTTCTCAGATAGCAAGTGCTGAGAGACCTTTACCCAAGATTGTAGAAAGCTGCTTCTAGTCAGACGATAATGGGCTAGATGGACCAATAGTGTAAGACTACTTATGTTGAAGAGCAGCAGATCTAATTAAGAACATTGATGAGATCTCAGTTGAATGCACACAGATGCAATCTTTTGGGAATAAAATGAATACACAGTTTTCCCCCCACATGTGCCATGTGTGTGTGAGTGTGTGCAACTGGAAGTCATGGTGACCTTTGGTGACTGACCCCTACTGGGGGCCTGGAGGATATTCAGAGAGGTGGTTGAATAAAGCCTGCTTCAACCTCCTGACTGCTGGTAGTCCAAGGAGGTCTCCCATCCAAGTACTTGCCGGAGCTGACCCTAGTTAGCTTCCAAGATCTGATGAGATTTGGCTTGCTTGGGCTATCCAGGTCAGGGTGTGAATATATACATTTTTGATGGGTCTTACGAAACAACTGGGCTACATGGTTGTGGATAAAAGAAAATGTATGGAAAATAATATTTTGTATGAGAACCAAGCATTGTCTGTATGTGCATGCTTTCCTGTCATATGAACTCTTCCACTGTAATGAGTTACAGTGTTTCTGATGGTTGTTATTAGGTGCTGAGTTACTTTTTATCTCTATAGGACTTAGTTGTGTGCCCTTGAAGTCCTAATTTTTAAAATGCTGATGAAGTGAAACTTTGTGTTGTCTTGCTTAGAATGCTAAACTAGAGATTGCTGGAACAGAGAGGATGCTTCTGGGATTTTTTCTGGCAAAGATTCATAAAATTGATCCTGATGTTATTGTGGTAAGTAATAGCTGTGTCCATTTGTCTAAAGGTGAGAAGCCTAGGTAGCACAGTAGGCAGCGCCTGAGCAGCAGAGACCTGAAGTTTAGGAAAGAAACAAGCCAACGAAAGAAGAACAGGGAACAAGATGTAATGAAAGTGAAAAAAGCGGGCTGAAAAATTTAATGCAGTGAGTGTTTTGAGGATACCTGAGTGAAAGAGTAAGCAGTGGACCGAGAAGCACTGACCTGAGGATTTGATGGCAGAAGGCAGATGTTAAGAGGGCAGCTTAGGTGAATGGTGGATTTGGGGGACAGGGAAAAGAAAGTGAGGCTGAGGAGTAGTAGTAGTAAAGAAAGTAGAAGGGATGGTTGAAAATCACAAAGAGCCCAGTGACAAAGAAAGTAGATAGTTCTGCATATTAAATACTGCATTATGGAGTTTTTATAGTAGTAAATTGTGGTTTAGTTCCATTCATGGAGATTCTTTTGATCCGATGTACAATTACAGTCCAGTTTCGGAACTATACTGTTCCCGAAGGGGACTTTTTTATTTTTTGCATTTTCTTCACACTACAATTATGGGATGGGGGAAAGGATACTAATACCCTAACACTATTACTATGGGTGATGGGTAAAGGAGATCTAATACACATATCTACTTGATAGGGGAAGGAATACTACCATTCTAATCTTTCATCTACTGGATTTGGGGGAAGGGAGAAGTCTAATACATGTCACGATCTGAATAGTTGAAAAAATAATGCTTTTTAACCTAATATTACACATTATATCAAGATGAGATTGAATTATGATAGTACACATTTAATAGCTTAACACAATTACTGCCCTTAATGCTTTTGTCTTAGTTCTAGAGTCTTCTTGCGTTTCTTCGTTTTCTGGAGTTTGGGGGCAGCCGCTCCTTTCTCCGATTCAGGTGATTCTGATGATGTGGAATTTTGGCTTGTTGAATCCTGTGAATAGGATTCTTCTTCTTTTTCCTTCTCATCCGGTATTAAATTCTTTTCCTTCTGCTTCTTTTTTGTATTGAACGTTTGATCCATAAATTTTTCCGCTTTTGGAACAGAGTCATTTTTATATTTTTTGTTCTGGTAATTGAAGCTCAGCCCTTCCGGGAATAACCATCTGTATGGTATTCCCTTTTTTTGCAGAGTGAGAGTAAGCATCCTGTAGAGTTTCCTCCGCTTTCTAACTTCGAAAGGGATGTCTTTCAAAATTTTTACGTCTTCATTCTTGTTTTTTAAGGATTTTCCCATTGTTGACTTACAGTTCTCTGGTAGATCGTTTCGTGAATTTTAGATAGGTTTCCCCTGGGAGTTTGTTTTTCTTTATAAAGTCTGGATAAGTCCTATAAGCCACATCCATCTCTTTTATTAAACCTTCTTGTTTATAATCCATTAATGGGGCCAAGGCAGCCGCCAGAAGTTCTTTTAAATCCTCGTTCTTCTCTTTGGGGATCCCATGTTAACGTAGAACGTACATGGATCTTTCCAGCTGGAGCTGTATTAGTTGCGTTTTATCAGAGGATCTTTCATTCTCTGCTTCATCCACTCTTTTGTTAATGCTCTCAGTCTGTTTTTCCATCTTTTTCAACGTTTTCTCAGTTGTTGAGGTTCTTTTATCCATATGATTCAGTTGTTTTTGGACATTGTCCGGCTTAGTGTTGAGGTTAGTCATCTGATCCATTACGGGGTGCAGTGCATTTGCTAACAGTGAAGAGAAGTCTGTAGTTACTTCCTGGTTTTGGGAGGGAGTCGTTGGGATGTTATTTCCAGTCTCCAGTTTTTTCTCCGGCGCCCTCCGTCCTCTCCCAGCCACAATATCAACAAGAAGTAAGTTTTCCAAAACAAGACAAAAGTTATGCGATTTAGTCCCACTTTGTATACTTCAGCAGTTTTTGCATTCGCTTAACTTCTTATGCGTTTATTTTAGCTCAGTCTTTTTATTTCCGATTTAAAACCGTTTTTAAAGTTTACTCAAAAGAGGGGGGGGGGGGCTTGAATTCCTCTCCCCCAGCGCTTCAAGCTTAGGTGCTTCCAATTACTACCAAGGTTCAGTTCGCTTTTTTCACCTGAGCTTTGCTTAACTCACAGTTTGGAGCCTTGGAGATCTTTTGGAAGCATTTTTAAAAGTTTGATCGTGATCGCTTGCTTCGGCAGTCGTCTCTGGGCGCCATACTGGCTCCTTGGCGACAATACCTTTCGGGGAAGAAGGTGAGCCTCAATTCCTTGGCCGTCGCCTTGGAAGAGGCTCTCCTCAGCTCCCCAGGCTGGGAGTCTCCTACAGAGACCCTAGTGAGGTCTGGGACAAACTCGGACCCCTCCCGTCAGCTGGTTCTCAGCGCGTCTCCATCAGAGTGAGACGGGAGACATCCGAGCGGCGAAACGCTTAAACCGGAAGTCGAAAGAGAACAATTTCTAATTTTCTCTTTCTCTTCCCCACCCCTCCACATACAGCTGCTGCCGTGACCTTGGGTCAGTCACAGTTCTCTCAGAGCTGTTTTGTTCTGGAAAAAACAGTTTTCGAGAGAGCTCTCTCAACCCCACCTACCTCCCAGGTGTCTGTTGTGGGGAGGGGAAGGGAAAGGAGATAGTAAGCGGTTCTGAGACAACCAAGTGAAGGGCGGGGTATAAATCCAATCTCTTCTTCTTCTCTCTCAATGTATATTAGGAAAGCTTCTAATAGAGGAAAAACTGATTTTGTAATTGTAGCAGTATGCTATGCTTGCTTCTTGTTGAAGGGTACATTACATTGTATTATTCGTATGACCCCCTGACTTGATACTTCTGCCTTACTTAATAAGCAAACCTTCTAAAAGGAGATGAATGTTCAGTATGTCTAGGTGTCATGCACACTTCAGAATTACTGCTTTTTATATTTGGTTAACTCTTATTTCTTTTTCTTTGTAAAGGGACATAATATTTATGGATTTGATATGGAAGTCCTTCTCCAGAGAATTAACATGTGTAAAGTTCCACATTGGTCCAAGATAGGTCGACTGAGGAGATCGGTCATGCCAAAGCTTGGGGTAAAATGTTGCTTAAGTCCCATTGCTTTACTGTATGTGATTAGAAATGAATTATTTTAGTTGCTGTATTTTGAATGCCTTGCTCATCTGTTTTGACTAGTCATGTAGCATGGTTTGCGTACCAATTTAGATTTCAGTAGTGTTGTTAAGAGCCTTATTTCAACAATGAGACAAAGCCAAGCAAATTTAGTTTACCTGTCTCAACTAGATGGAGATATTGACAGATTAATGACTAATAGAGGTGCTTTTGTGTATAGTAAATTGTGGGGAAAATGTATGTTGGCTTGACTGGCAAATCATTCCTTAGAGAATAGTTGGGTTTTTCTAGCTCTCTTCTATGTAGATCACTGAATCCAGCATATTTAATTATTTTCTTCTCTATCCTAGGCTGCTTTGATTTTTGTGGTTTTACCCTGCTATTACAACAAAATACTCTAATCTATTACAGTGGTGGTAAGGGGTGGCAGCTGGAGGTATGAGAGGTGGAGTGCCTGTAAGAGTTCTGAGCAGAGCAGTCTTAGCAATGTGCTGTAATAATGGTGGTTTATTATTTATTTATTTGTTTACTTAATTTATACCCTGCTGTTTTCGCCAATGGGGACCCAAAGTGGCTTATGTCATTCTCCTCTCCTCTCCATTTTTCCTCACAACAAGCCTGTGAGATGGGTTAGGCTGAGAGTGTGTGACTGGCCAAGTTCACCCAGCAAGTTTACATGGCAGATTGGGATTCAAATGTGGGTTTCCAGATCCTAGTCTGCCATTTTAACCACTACACCAACTGGTTTTCTTTTTTGACTTTTTATGCCCTCTTTTTATGTGCAAAGTGCTCTTTCTCTAGAGTTCCAGTCATTGAAGTTTTGCTTTGTGCATGTGATAAGTATGCCTGGAAAGACCAGAGAGATGAAGCCCCATGCTAAGTGAGTTCTGTGTGTCCTGGCTGGGGTTTATCACACTACTTATGCAATACTGTGATCAGCTCTAGGCTTAGTTTCCTAAGCTGCACTGGGGCTGTGAAACATGATTGGGGGGCAGTTATATTTAATTTCCAACGAGTTTATTTGGAATATTTATACTTAACCCTAGGTTTTTACAGGCATAATGCTACGGTAGAGCTGGAGATTGATTTAGCTGAGAGCCTAAGCTCTTCTCTTTCTTTGGCACCTCCCCCCCCCGGTGCTCACAGGTTCTGCCTCCCTATACTTGCATTTGTGCATAATGTACTCCTGCATACACAAAGGTGCAGGGCCTAGTTAGTATCCTAAACAGTTTACTGATTGGCCTTACGATTGTATGTCAAATTTCTAAAACAGCAAGGAAAAGTCCATTAAAGGAATCATGGGATAAATAACAAGACCATCTGATAAAACCAATAATAAAACTCTGTGGAGAGGGTGATCTCAAAGGCTTAGGAGCGTAGAAACAGCTGGTGCCTAAAAAATTTGGAAGTTAGGTACCAGCTGATCTTCTGTAGGGAGGGCGTTCCCGAGCTTGGATGTCACTAGGGAAAAGGCCCTCTCACCACCACCCCGTGCCTGTGAAAATGGGGGCACACAAGGCATGGTCTCTGAAGATGGTATTAATCAAGCAAGGGCATATGGGATGTATGATAAAGGTATAATGCCTCTTACAGTTAAGAAAAAAAGTTGACACAACAGGAGTGGAGGGCAGTAATATCTCTTTTTACCCCCCTTAGTAAGGAAACCAACCTTTATTTTTGTATTGTAACATCTTTTTGACTGAAACTTTAGTGGCTGTATCTGAAGAAGTGTTCATGCACATGAAAATGTATACCTTCAATAAAACTTTGTTGGTCTTAAAGGTACCACTGGACTCAGACTTTGTCTTGTTCTTTTGTTACTCTTTACACTATTTGTAATTAAATGGTTGTCAACAAGCAAGCAAGTGAATCTTGATAACTAGTTAATAACTGTGTGCTTATTTCTTAATGCAACAAATTATGAACAACTGTTAGGGATTAATAAGTAAAATCCCATTTTCGCTGTGTGTGTGAAGCAGGCTGGTAAAGACATGGTTAAACAATTTCTTTCATGTCTTAGTCCCGTCTTCAGTGAAACTTTGACGTTTCTCTATTGTTTCTTGAAGTCCTGTACAGCCCTAAAGGTTACTTGCAGACAAACAAATACAGGAGAGAGTACACCTTTACATGTATTTTGTTAAGTAGGCAGAATAGAAGAGGCCCTGAAGACGTTTCTCTTTTTCTTGACTATGAAGGGTCGTAGTGGATTCGCTGAAAGAAATGCTGCTTGTGGTCGAATGATTTGTGATGTAGAAATTTCGGCAAAGGAGTTGATTCGTTGCAAGAGCTATCATTTGTCTGAACTGGTCAGTCAGGTTAGTGACAATTCCATCTGACGAAATAAGAAATATGTACAGGTATGTTGCTAGATGCTTCCATTACAAAAATTCAGCTTTCACCAATGATAAAGGAAACACAGAAACATGTCTGTATGGATGTTAGAAAAGTATACGATCCATTACTGCACAGAAAATGTATTTACATTTGGCAAAATGGATACTGGCAAGTCAACGAAGTGGTTGATAAACCACTGGTTAAGGAAAATAATTGGGAAGGCTTTACTACAAGTCCAACTTTCAAGTTGGAGATCAGGATGCTTTATTGTTCTTCAGGCATACAATTTGGGTTTTATTTTAATTAGTGTGTTTGAGTAGAGAGAAGTTGAACGTATGAAACTGCCTTGCACCAAGTCAGACCATAATTCATCTAGCTTAGTATTGTCTGCTGTGATTGGTAGCACTTCTCCAGAGTCTCAGGGAGAAGATAGTCTTTTCCAGCACCTGTTACCTGAGATTGTTTAACTAGTGATGCCAAGGACTGAAGATGGGACATTCTGGAATAACAGTTGTGATGTTCATGATCATTCTGACTTGAGGAAGTAAAAAGAAATGAAAATCATATGCATTCATTTGGAGTCAAATATTTCCTGAAGACTTTTCTGAAAGGAAAAAGCAAGCAAATCACTCAGGGTACTGGCTGATTATAAGACTGCTGTGAACTGTCATTGTCATTTGGATATAAAGAGCACACATCTACGTTTTTGGATGTGAAGTTGTAGGGATGGAGGAAGTGCTGATATTCTGGAGGAAGACAGTGGCGAAGATATCTCTGAGTTGCCCATATTCAGAACTGAAAAGGCATAAAGAAAAACAACGTTGATTACAAATATGAAGGGGCTTACCTTGAGGTTACTTATTTTATAATAAGGGAAAGGTACTCTGTATATGTTTGAAGTCATGTAGTTGCTTTCTTTGTGTTGAAAGTAGATTTTAGTGAATAGAGGTAGTGAATCCTAACTCAACTAGCTCCAGATAATTCATTAGATTGAGAACTATCTAAATTAATGGAAGTCTGCTATTAAAATGATCAAGGGATACAAAAAGGACTGTTGGGTTCTCTTTGTGGCTTTGTGTTGTTGAATGGCATGGTTCTGTGAGCCAGTAAAATTTATTTAGGATATTTATTAGTTACATATGAGATGGCGGAGATGACAGTGATTTAACCCAAGCCCTAACCTAAGGTGTGATCATCTAGTTTCTTTTTTAAATGAAATTTTACATAATCAGTACCAACATGTGCTGCAGGTGAACTGCAGAAGAGCAGCTTCTGTAGCAGGAGACATTTCCTTGTCAGGCCCAAGTATGGTTGTCAAAATCATTAGTAAATTTGATTCAGATGTAGTACAATAATAAAATAGAACAGTTCTTGGCTGAAGGTGGCCAGAATATTGTATTGATTTGTGCCTCAGTCAAGACTGTTGGCTTACAATGTATGTTTCATTGCATGTAGTCTGTGAAGTTATTACAGTTCCTGGGATTATGCTGTACATGGTGAGTGAATACTGAATGGCTTGATATGTGTTTTAATCCACACAGAGGTAAAATCCTAGTAGCACTAATTGCTGTGCTTGTGGTCAAATGGGATGCCAGTTGTGTTTGTGGTCAAATGGGACACGAGTTGCATCAAATTTGCTGCAGTGGTAATCATTAATGAATTCTGGCTTTATAGGTGTATCATGGTAATTTATATTTGTGTAGCTTCAAAACATGGGAAGGTTTATTAAAATTTCCTCTTCTTCATAGTGATTCTCATCGCCTGTTTTACATGCTGGAGAACACCTGGACCGATGCCAAGTACATTTTACAAATAATGTGTGAGCTTAATGTTCTTCCACTAGCCCTACAGATCACAAATATTGCTGGGAATGTTATGGTAAATCTACAGTTTTTTACCAATTACTAACTCATTATTGTATTGGATTTGCATGTGTAATTTTATTTATTGATAATTGTGATACCCTTTTAAAAACAACATGCATGGAATGGAGTTTATAGTAAAACATGTTATGGTAGTCTGGATAGCGTATTTCTTTGACAATAGAGGTGATTTTATAATCAAGGAGGCTGTGAAGGCAAAAAAATGCAATTGGCATTCAAAGTTACCTTGTTCGCTGTGTCTGTGCTGTGTTGGGTGAAATGCTCACATGATCACTTTGATAATTTGTTTGGAATTCAGGGGCAATGTTATTCTGAGTAGTTTGCATCTTAGTAGCAGTGATGGTCAGTATGGTGGCTGGCAGAGTAGCTTCTGTTTGTATATGCTCACAATTTCCTGGATTGCTTGAATGGTGTATGCTCCAGGATCACCATGGGTCAGTATTGCATCATTTAAAGCCAACTACACACAGTAGCAGAGCATCTGAAGAAGTGAACTCTAGCCCATGAAAGCTTGTGTTGTTGTAGACTTTGTGGTCTTCAGGGTGCTGTAAGACTCCTTGTCTATTTTTGCTGCAACAGACTAGTACCGCTAACCCCTCTAAAATTACATTCATAAATTAGCTGCATTCATTATGCTTGTGCATGTCAGAATTGACTGGAGTGAGAATACATAAAGCCAGTTAATACATATAAACATGCTTGGCTTTGAAAATTGGGTAGGGAGATAAAATGGACATTTATAGAGAAGCAGTGCAGCTTCCCCCACCCCTGCAGGACCGAGAATCCAAGGAAACCACCTCTACTTAAGTTGGTATTTTATTTCTATTCTTGTGTATCATCTGGAGTGGGTGGGGAAAGAGAGGAGTGGGACAGCCAAGTGTTCACACTTTTGATTTGGTGAGCATTGAATCAGTCAAGCAGCACGAGGAGTAGAAATTCAACCCATGTAGTTTCCTACCCCTTCCCAGTAGCATTGAAAGACTTATTTTTTTAGGTATTTTACATATAGCACAGATAAGGGATGGGGATAGAGAATGTAGTGTGAGAATGTACACATGCAGAACATTTTAATCCTACTTGGAATGTTTGCAGTTGAACTTTCTGTAGAGGTTTGACGATCCTATAAATGAACAAACTGCAATTAAAAAGGTGGTTTTGAAGTGTCCCAGTTTATAGTGTTTGTTGGCCAATTACAAAAGATTGATATGGTGTGGCTTCCTAAACTGACCAGAGAACGCTCTGAAGCCTAATAACAGAATCTGAAGTTGCTGTTGTGTTTGTTATTGTTAGCCTTTTGACTCCTGTTGGTAACTGTGTGGCTGTTCCCTTTCCTGCAGTCAAGGACACTGATGGGTGGGCGAGCGGAGCGTAATGAGTTCTTACTCCTTCATGCGTTCTATGAAAAAGATTTCATTGTGCCTGATAAGCAGAATTTTAAAAAGCCTCAACAGAAACAGGTGAGATCCCTCCCATCTCTCTTCATACGTAAAATTCTGGCAAACGCTACTATATTTTTCCATGTTAAATAGCATTTGATCAAAGTTTTTTTGTTACACAAGAATTTCAGAAACAAAAATGCACACTCATGTTAGGCATTTTGCACTGTCAGTTCCTCATTTGGGCATGATACTTATACTGATTGTTTCATTACATTGTTGATCTATGCATCACTATGAGCCCTCTTAGTACCAAATTAGGTAGACAGTATGAAAGATAAAGGAGCTGCGGTGGCTCAAGTGGTTAAGACGCTGAACTGCAGGCTGTGGAAGGTCAGTAGTTCAGTGGTTCAAGACCCGGGTGCCGCAAGACAGGGTGAGCTCCTGTCTCTAGTTCCAGCTCCTGCCAACCTAGCAGTTCGAAAGCAAGAAATTGCAAGTAGATAAATAGGGACCACTTCGGTGGGAAGATAACAGCGTTCCGTGCGCCTTGGTGTTTAGTCATGCCGGCCACATGACCACGGAAACGTCTTCGGACAGCGCTGGCTCTTCGGCTTTGTAACGGAGATGAGCACCGCAACCCTAGAGTCGGATTCGACTGGATTTCGAGCAAGGGAACCTTTACCTTTACTATGAAAGATAAAGACAGTGTGAAAGAAAGCAGAAAGTCTATCAGTGGCTATTAGCCACAAGGTATAGATAGGAACTCTAAGTCTGGGCAAGTGATGCACTGTATTCTTGGTGCTGGGGGAGGGGGCAGCAGTGGGAGGGCTTCTAATGTCCTGGCCCCACTGCTGGACCTCCCCCATGGAACCTAGTATTTTTGGCCACTGTGTGACAGTGTTGGACTGGATGGGCCATTGGCCTGATCCAACATTGGCTTCTCTTATGTTCTTATAATGAAACTAGCAAATGCAAGTCTTCTTCCTTTAACAAACTGCACCGTTTTACTGTTAACTTTTAAATCACGGCCAGTTGAATCTGTTGCTGAAAAGTCACTTCCAGATGGCAGAATGGAACACAGTATCACATCGGTTTTGATACTCTACTTCAGGAGTTCAAACATGCGGCCCGGGGGCTGGATCAGGCCCCCAAAGGGCTTCTTATCAGGTCCACAAGGGACTGGCTGTCTCCTGCTTCTTCCCCCAGTTCTTCTTCTGCTGCTGCGTCATAGCTTGCTTTCCCAGACTCTCTCAGTCGCTCAGGAGAGATAGATAGGCAAGCTTCTGCTCCCTGCACTGGGCTGAGGCTCCTCCCAGATTGCTACAGCACAGACATTTTGATGTAATAATTCAGAGTAAGAAGTTTCAGTTATCAGACTGTTAAATAAACAAAATATTGCAAAAATGCTAATGTTTCAAGCATGTTTTTATTTTAAGTTAAAAAAAATCTTTGTGTTTGTGTCCTTTATAAAGTTTATATCTTCGCTACCTGGCATTACATTCTATGACACATATGGCCCGGCCCGACAAAGTCCAATTTATGTCAAATCTGGCCCTCCTTAACAAATGAGTTCGACACCCCTGCCCTACTCCAACTAAAATTTGCCACTTGGTCCTACTTAGTATATCATTTAGTTATCCTTCTGTTTCTCTCTACTTCTGACATAAATGTTTGAAAATGTTAATATATAAATTTAAATAAAAACAGTTTAAGGGAGTTAATCTACCATGAAGATAGATTCCTACAGTGTTCTGTATAAATGATCCAAGAGTAATATTCTGAAAACTTTAATGTTGCATTTCATGGTTTGAGGATTAACTTTGGCAAACACACACTTTTCTTTCTTTTCTTTTTTTTTTGAGCCCCCCGTAGGGGATTTTTTAATTTGCATTTCTAAAAACTACATACTAATAAAATAAAACGAAAATATGGAAGGGTAACTACTTACTGTGGGATAAAGTAAAGAAAACCCACCAAAACCCCAAGAGATGGTGGTCATACATGTTGTTGTTCAGGTGCACAGTCCAATCCGACTCTTGCGACCCCGTGAACCAGATCACGCTAGGCCCTCCTGTCTTCCGCCGTCCTCTGAAGTTTGCTCAATTTCATGTTCGTTGCATCTATGACACTGTGTAAAAATCTCATCCTTTGCCGTCCCCGTCTTCTTTGACCTTCAATCTTTCCCAGCATCAGGGTCTTCTCCAGTGAGTGCTCCCTTCTCATTTGGTGGCCAAAGTATTTGAGCTTCAGTTTCATTATCTGGCCTTCCAGGGAACAGTCAGGGTTGATTTCTTTGAGGATTGACTGATTTGTTCTTCTTGCAGTCCAAGGGACTCTCAAGAGTCTCCTCCAGCACCATAGTTCAAAAGAATCTATTCTTCGGCGCTCGGCCTTCCTTATAGTCCAACTCTCACAGCCATACATGACTACTGGGAATACCATTGCTTTGACCATTTGTGCACACTTGGGGCAGTCCCCAGGTGTGCACAAAAATCTAAAAACCCAGAAAAAATATCGGAGGGATACTTAAATCCCCCCAAAGTGGAGGAGACGGGGGGAACCGGCGGGATGGGGGGGAACTTACCTCCTCCTCCTGCTTCCTCCTCTGCCTCCTAAGTGTGGAGGTCCTGCCCCTTGTTAATTACTAAAATATTTAGAGTTTTCAGAGTGTAATAACATCTCATTCTTTCTTATACTTTGATTTTCTCAAATGATAGCTTGTCTTCGGGGCAACTGCCCCTAACTTAGAGTCCGGATCCTCGTCTGAATCTCTTGCTGCTCCTTCTTCTTCGCTTTCGTTGGTGCTGTCTTCTTTCTCTGGTTCTTTCTCCCGTGATGGGCGACTATGTAGATGCAAAACTTCTGCCTTTTCAACAGAGTCAGTTTTTTCTTTCTTGTCCACAAATTTGAAGATTGTGCCTTCAGGTACCATCCATCTGTAGGGAATGCTTTTCTTTTGTAGGAATAGTATCAGGTCTCTGTATTTCCTCCTCCTCCTTATTTCAAATGGTATGTCCTTTAGCACTTTTATTTCTTTGTCTTTGATTTTCAGGGTAGATCCACTTGTCGCTTTGAGGATTTGGTCTCTCACTTGTCTTCTCAAGAATCTTATAATCACTTCCCCCGGTAGATTATTTTTTTAATGAATTCTGGATAAGATCTATAGATTATAATCTGTTTCACTTCATAGTATGTCCGTTTTTATATCTGCCAAAGGGCCTAAGGCATCACACATAGTCTGTTTCAGATTCTCAGTCTTATCTTCAGGACACCTTGAAACCTTAAGACATAGCTTGCTCTCTCCATTTGTAGCTGTAACAGTTGAGACTCTTCCATCAATGCCTTTTCTTCCATCACCTGCAGTTTCCCCCCCCCAATTTTTTGCTGTTGGCATCCACTTCTTTTACCTCTTTTTTCAGTTTTGTCTGTTTTTTTGGCTATTTCAGCCAGTTGCAATCGCTGTGCATCAAATTTGCCGTGCAATGCTGTTATTTGATCCAGCAGGGGTCACAATGCTTCCATTAGCATCTTTTGTAGCTCTGCAGTTGTGTCCTGTCTAGGGGCAGGACTCGCTGGTCCAGCAGGTCTGACAGGAAGTTTTGGTTTAACTTGTTTTTCCTTCTCATCCTTCCTCTTGGGCGCCATTTTTAAAGATTGTTTACTTTTTATAAAAGTTATCACAGTCTCTGATACTCCTTAATATGCTTGGTAAGTTTTTAAATGCTTATTAATTCAGTTTATCTTGCGTCAATCGTTCACACCCCCCTTGACATTGTAGGATAAAATTGCTTAGCTTTTCTTATTGGGGGAGAGTCCCCCCCCTCGCTTTTAAAGGGAAGTTTCCAGCTTAATTTTTTTCGGTGGTTCTTGCTTTAACTCCATCTCACAGTTCAATATTGAATGTGTTTTCCATTTAATTTCGCTCGGCCACCTAATGCTTGTTCTGGTGTGCGATTCCTTTTCCCATACGGGACGCTCCACAGTGGGACCTTCGGGGCATGGAGGAGCCCCCCCTTCTCCGGCTGGATCGCTGGTGGAAGAGCTCACTCTAGCGCCCCATGGCTAGGAGCCCATTCGCAAGGGCTCCAGGGGTGGCGTGGACAATCACGCTCCATCCCAGCCGTGGGCTCAGGCTACTGTCTCCTGGAGGTCCGGAGAGAAGCAGCAGCCATGGCGCACACCAAAATCGGAAGTCAACATACACACTTTTCCATGAAACTGTGGTGAGAGCCTTGAAAAAGAATTTAAGACAGTGCAAAAATTGCAGTGTGAACTAGTCTGAATGCATATATAAGTAGACTGCTGATTTAACATACGTTTCCTCTCAAGTTTTAAAAGTTTAGTGCAAGTAGAGGCTGTTACATGTGTATGGAGGAAACAAATGTGTGCTTAAAGATAAGAACATGTGGCAGAGTTCATGGCACATCTGCCTAAATAGAATATGAGTTGTGGAAAGTGTGTTTGCCTCGTGCATGTATGTTCTTATATTCTAAAAAAAGTAGGAGCACTCGTAGGTTCATAAGAGAAGCCAATGTTGGATCAGG